AGGGCCATGAGACTTAGACCTGAGTGCAAAAATGGAGGCTCTAGCCCCTTCCAGAGCTGAGATAATCGAAACTCAAAAATTCGGCCCGAAAAAAAACGACAGTGGTACCCTTACGTTTTTTTTTTTCGGGCGAAAAATTAAGTTTCTCCAATCTTCCCAAAACTCTGGATTCTGATAGAGGGCCATGAGACTTAGACCTGAGTGCAAAATGAGGCTCTAGCCCCTTCCAGAGCTGAGATATCGGAACTCAAAAATTTGACCCGAAAAAAAAACGACAGTGGTACCCTTACGTTTTTTTTTTCGGTGAAAAATTAAGTTTCTCCAATCTTCCCAAAACTCTGGATTCTGATAGAGGGCCATGAGACTTAGACCTGAGTGCAAAAATGGAGGCTCTAGCCCCTTCCAGAGCTGAGATATCGAAACTCAAAAATTCGGCCCGAAAAAAAACGACAGTGGTACCCCTTACGTTTTTTTTTTCGGCGAAAAATTAAGTTTCTCCAATCTTCCCAAAACTCTGGATTCTGATAGAGGGCCATGAGACTTAGACCTGAGTGCAAAAATGGAGGCTCTAGACCCTTCCAGAGCTGAGATAACGGAACTCAAAATTTTGACCCGAAAAAAAAACGACAGTGGTACCCCTTTCGTTTTTTTTTTTTCGGGCGAAAAATTAAGTTTCTCCAATCTTCTCAAAACTCTGGATTCTGATAGAGGGCCATGAGACTTAGACCTGAGTGCAAAATGGAGGCTCTAGACCCTTCCAGAGCTGAGATATCGAAACTCAAAAATTTGACCCGAAAAAAAAACGACAGTGGTACCCTTACGTTTTTTTTTTCGGGTGAAAATTAAGTTTCTCCAATCTTCACAAAACTCTGGATTCTGATAAAGGGCCATGAGACTTAGACCTGAGTGCAAAAATGGAGGCTCTAGCCTTCCAGAGCTGAGATATCGAAACTCAAAAATTCGGCCCGAAAAAAACGACAGTGGTACCCCTTACGTTTTTTTTTTTCGGGCGAAAAATTAAGTTTCTCCAATCTTCCCAAAACTCTGGATTCTGATAGAGGGCCATGAGACTTAGACCTGAGTGCAAAAATGGAGGCTCTAGCCCCTTCCAGAGCTGAGATATCGGAACTCAAAAATTTGACCCGAAAAAAAAACGACAGTGGTACCCCTTACGTTTTTTTTTTTCGGGTGAAAAATTAAGTTTCTCCAATCTTCCCAAAACTCTGGATTCTGATAGAGGGCCATGAGACTTAGACCTGAGTGCAAAAATGGAGGCTCTAGCCCCTTCCAGAGCTGAGATATCGAAACTCAAAAATTCGGCCCGAAAAAAAACGACAGTGGTACCCCTTACGTTTTTTTTTTCGGGCGAAAAATTAAGTTTCTCCAATCTTCCCAAAACTCTGGATTCTGATAGAGGGCCATGAGACTTAGACCTGAGTGCAAAAATGGAGGCTCTAGCCCTTCCAGAGCTGAGATATCGGAACTCAAAAATTTGACCCGAAAAAAAAACGACAGTGGTACCTTTTCGTTTTTTTTTTTTCGGGCGAAAAATTAAGTTTCTCCAATCTTCTCAAAACTCTGGATTCTGATAGAGGGCCATGAGACTTAGACCTGAGTGCAAAAATGGAGGCTCTAGCCCCTTCCAGAGCTGAGATATCGAAACTCAAAAATTTGACCCGAAAAAAAACGACAGTGGTACCCCTTTCATTTTTTTTTTTTTCGGGCTAAAAATTAAGTTTCTCCAATCTCCTCAAAACTCTGGATTCTGATAGAGGGCCATGAGACTTAGACCTGAGTGCAAAAATGGAGGCTCTAGACCCTTCCAGAGCTGAGATATGGACATCCCACGTAGCATTTATGCCATTATAAAAATAGTGGGTTTGTGGACGGTGGAATTATGGGATGGCGCTTGGTACCACAGACTCAGGGGACCCCCCTGAGTGCAGTAAAATAGTTTTTATCATGACAGGAACTTTAATTAAAATGTCTATCAAAAACACTACCCGAATCCCCATTCAATAGATTGCCGATGGGACCGCGTCCAATTGCAGCATATTGAATGAACAGCGGAAAAACTTAAAAAAATATAGTGGGTTATTGGACAAATAGCGGGTTTGTGGGATGGGGGCGTGTCCGGGGACCGGTCAGTGGGGACGTTTCGAGGGTGGCTCCACCGAGGGGGCTTTTGCGGAACTGCCTCGGGGGTCCCGAAACTTCGGGCTCCTCCCGTCGGCCCCCCGGGGGGGTCGGGGCGTGTTATAAAGTTATAATGTTCAAGTTTTTGTTCTAAAAAATGACTCTAGATTGATTCGAAGGTATTTAGTTTGTTACAAACAATGTGCAATCTGTAAAACAAAAACCTCAAAATTATAGTTGAAATGGTATACTGCTGGGATGTTTTTGACCTTGAGAAAAAGCTTAAAGTATAGACCAACAAATTTTATGTTTATTAATTTATTTCATGTTGGTACATTTTTGGGAAGTACACCTGTTTTGACCTGATGTCCATTGGAATGGATAAAAAAATCACAATGAAAGCAATTATATAAAAAAAATTTTAATTTGTTTTAATTTATAGAAACCGCATGAGCTGGTAAAATGTACTTTTATATTTTTCAGAAACTTGAAACATAATTCAGGTCTGAGGGGGTTAAACTCGAAGGTTGAACTTGATAAGCCACGGGAGGGAGATGACGTCATGATGTAAATGAAGATTGACATCGCTCTCAACCAACAGCGGACAAGAGATGACGCAAACCTAAGAATGGGATAGTGGTAGAAGAGAGAGAAGAGAAATAGAAACCAAAAGAAAAAACATACACGACCACAGGGACGTAACATTACTCTAATATCAGGAGAGTTTTATGTTATCGCGACAGATTCATCTATGTTAGGTATAGTTCTGGGTCACTAAAGGCCTGAATATGTAATAATGATTGCTGAAACATTCATGCATTTAAAGGTTTAAAGGTTTATCAGACCAGCATATTTGTTTCTGCACTCTTTTTAAGAACTACATAGTTTTTTAAGAACTTTGTGGAGTTAAAATGTTAAGTACGTGGCATTAGTCTATAAACATTTGAATTATTTTTCAAGCATTTATCAGATAGGATGTAACTGAACTCAGTCAAACGCTGCTTCAAACTTAAAAAGTACAGGTTACAGCTGATCTCTCCCTATTTGTTATATTGATTATTTCTGATTAATAACTTCTTAATAACTTCATACTTAACTATGAAAAAGAAGAAAGTTAAGACAATACTTTTTTAGTTAAAAGAGAGGAAACCATTTGTTTTCTGTAATAATTTTCAATGATTATTGCACATTTAAAAAAATGAATTAGAAAATAATTACAAACAATTTAATCCCACACCTAAGTATTTTCACATGATTTAGACATTAATTAATGTAAATGTTCTTAGCTCATTATATAACTGAAGTTTCAACTCAACTAAAGATTCTCCTATTCACATAAAGAAAACAATTGTTGCAGAGCAAAACACAAGTTGCAGAGCAAAACAGACATTGAGAAAGACACAAAGTAGCCTCTGTTGGGTGTGGTTATGACCGTGGTAATTGTTGAAGGCTTATTAGTGATTGTTGAAGGCTTATTAGTGATTGTTGAAGGCTTATTGGTGATTGTTGAGGGCTCAACTGTGGTTGTAGGTACAGAGGGACTCTTTATAGAAGTGAAACATGTGCCCACATTTCCCACCACATCCACAACTACCAGCTCTACTTCCTGAGAACAACAGGAAGCATTGTAGGACGCCACAGTCACATTTGTGCCATCCTCACTTATCACAATGCTTAAGCTGAGAGAGCCGTTCCCACGGTTGAAAGACACATCGGATATGCCTGTTCCATTCCCGTCTGTCAAGTTGGCGGAGAGTTCCCATGATGCCGTGCTGCATTCCACAGGACAGTCAGCTTTGATGCTCACTACCTGACAGACAGGGCTAGAAATATCAGTCACCTGCCAAAACAAAAATAATTTAGGTTAATCAGTCAATAAGGATCAAATGTTAATACTGTTTCCACCCAAAACAATGAGTCACGAAGAAAGCTATTCTATTCAATGGAGATCAGTTACAGTACAATGAAAATGCAACAAAATCAAACTGATGGTAATTATTAATAATGTCTACTCCAGGTGCTTTCATAGTAGCTACCTTAGTCAAGACATTGAACCGCAGTGCCACGTAATTCGAGTCACTGGTCTCTGAATCTTCTGCTTCAATAGTGAGTGTGACATCCGTCCCTGACTCTGTGTTGGCGGGTGCGGTAAGTGTTACAGTTCCCTGAGCACTTTCATCTGTCCCCACGTAAAGAGAGCTGGGAAAAGTCACGTTGAAGCCACGGTCAGTCCGGGCTCGGATAGTGTAGCTGCTCCCTGTTATAGCATTATTGACCAATGTAAAGTTGAAATTTAAAGGAATTCCAGGCTCTATGGTGCTATTGGTTTGGGCCTGAGAAGGTATATGGTCAATATGGTTAGAATATTGTCAATGTATGTTGCATATATTTCATTGAATATTCTGTGCTGGTCATATTAAACTTGTATAGAAGTCATGTGTCAATGGTTCTATCCCCTTAAGCTCACCGTGATGGTAACTCCAGAGCCTTTTTGCTGTGTTGGTGACTGTCTCTGGAATTGACTAGGCAAAGATCGAGTTAAGTCATTCACCAGTCCTTTAAGTTGGACCACAAATGCCCCCTCTGGGATTCTGTCTACGTTCACCAGGATGTCTGTCGCTCCCACTGCTTTGATGGTTCCATTAACAACATCAGATCCCGAAGTTTCAACTAGAAGCACGTCAGTCACTGTGACTGAATCTCCTCCGGTCACAGAGACTAACAAAGTAGCATTCCGACCTGATCAACAATCAAAAAAAATAATTAATTCACATTGACGACACTAAAATAGTTCATCATGTTTATACACTCATGTTCAAAAGTTTGGGGTTAGTAAGATTTAAAAAAAGAAATACTTTTATTCAGCAAGGACAGCATAAAAACATTTATAATGAGCTCTCAAACCAAACTCTCAGTCCAAAGTCTTTTGCCTTTTATGACAGGTGAGTCTCCAGATTGTCGTTTGAACCTTTCTGGATCCTCCATCAAATTAATAAGTTTAATTATATCAAGTACTGTGAGAAAAGACTGTAAATCTCCACCTCCAACATCCTCACATGCAATATAGCTTATACTAGCCGAGACTCTTTCTTTATGTGTACAGATGTGACGTAATGACACAAAGATATGCTCGAATCTCCTCCGAGAAATCCACCAGTACCACTGGAATTAAAAACATTATTACAAGCTTACCACTTAGGTAAGCAGCTAGTTTTGAACACTGGCTGTTTATGTACTTTCTCAAAAATTATTTTGGACAATTTTAACCCCCAAAAGTTATAGAATGGAGCTTTAAGCAGCATTGATTGAAAAAAAATATTAAAAAGAAATACAGCAATACAGCTTTTACTGTAGGTGTACCAAGTGAACAAAATTTACTGATGGCTTAATTTAAGAAATTTTCAATTGCGCTTCCGATTTTGCAGGGAGATTCTCTGATTTTGGGTGCGCTATAGTGAGTTTGTCTAGTAACTCCAGTTGGAATCTTCACCCCAAAATGGCAGCCGCGCTACCGAATTTCCACCTAGTGGCTGTTACCAAAAAAACATCAGAGTTTTGCCTCTTGTTAGTTTCTACTCTTTTTTGAAATGATCATGCTAGACTTATGCGATCATATCAGTGTATGTTACACTGTACTATTGCTGTATTTATTGCTATATGCTTCCTTCGCCAAACTACACCAATTTTAGCAATACAGTTCCACCATTATAAAAAATGCCAGTTTTATCCAATTTTGCTGCCACTAGGGGTGTAAGCTTCCCCCAATAAATCCCGTTACATTGGCTACATCAACACGCTTGATGCATTGTGTCCTTGCTTGCTCAAGCTGGTGTGATGCTTCCCCCATTAGATTTGATCTATATTGTTCAACCAGCCCGTTCTCATCCCAAGGCACCATATACAACGCTTTTGCCAAAGCGTAGACATCCAACGCACATGGCACCCTTTAGCGTTAATTTGAGACGCAGATATACAGTATATGGGGCAGAAGGCGCCTCCTAGTGGTCTAACCCTACCCTGCCCCAGACCTAAACCTACCCATACTCTGTGCGTGTTATTTTGGGTGCCGTGTGCGTTGGATGTCTACACTTTGGCAAAAGTGTTGTACAGAATATGACGCCTTGGGATGAGAATGCGTTGGTTCAACATATGGCATTAACATCAGGGATGTATAACCATTCTGTCAGAATTTGTATATAAAAAAAAAGGCATCCAGATTTTTACTGTCAGTTTGTGTTGGGGAATATTGGCATTTGGTTATAAAAAAAAGATGTTATCATACCGATGAATGGACGATTGTCTTTCGGTGTGATGTCACCTCCCTCTGACTGCTCCACAAAGTTAAAGAGAAAGTTCACAGAGCTCTGACCTGTAGTCACAATTAGATGCAGCATTATTGCATCTTCCAAATGAAAACATGACTGATGACTGATTTTCTTTTCAAAACCATTTAGACTAAATTCAAGATTAAACATAAATGTAATAATAATAATAATAATACATTTGAATGTCAATGGTTTACATATCTGGCAGATTAAAACCACTTACCAGTGATTTTAAGACTGTAGAAGCTTGAAGAGTTAATGCTGATTTTCCATTCCCCTGTCTGGTTGTCAGAGTTTAGTGTAACTCTCCTTAAATTCCCAACAGTCAGGATGCTACCCAGAGGACCATCTGCCACTGAACCTAACTGAGACACACCTGAAAGGCAGGAGAAGCATAACTTATTTTAAACAATGATTATGGTGTCTGTATTTTTGTATTGGAGAAGATAACCCTCATCAACACACAATGTCTGAGGTGCGTTGGCTCACCTGTTGGGCTGTAGAAGGTAAAGACTGGAGAGTCTCCGGTGACATACAAGGTCACATTGGACAGAGATGGATCCAACACAAACGAATAATTTTCTGCAATGGCTGGACTTCTCACAACCTGAAGAATTGTTATCTTAAGAAACACAGAGATGTTTTCAATGTTGCAGTGTTTCACACCAAAATTCCAACCACCAAATTGAAACAAATAAAATCACACCTTTTCCGATAGAGTCTGATTTGGATACCGAAACTTTCATTTTTGGTGCTTGCCGATAACTAATTTTCACTGCATTTAATTGAAATGAATCAGAGCTGTTCAAATTTAGAGCTGTTCCACTTCCAGCAAATCTCAGTGCTAAGGACTGAGTCAGTGGTTCAAATGTTTAGATACCAGTAAAATATCACAACAATTCTCTATTCCAATACTGGTGCTGATATCAATGCATCCCTAATATATATATATTAGGTATATATAAACTATATATATATATATATATATATATATATATGTGTGTGTGTGTGTGTGTGTGTGTGTGTGTGTGTGTGTACATATATACAGTATATATATATATATATATATACACACAAATAGTCATTGTCAAAACATACCAGGGCTGAGGTAGATGCATCCGTAATGACTGCCGTGGCCTTAGAAAGTTCAGCCCTTTGGACCTCTATGGTCTGTCCACCAGAAATTTGAGCCAGGTCTCTGTACAGCTGTATGTCTGACAGAGGAATTGATCTTGAATTAAACTGCTGAGATTGTGAGACATCCCGTCTTCTACGGAATGAGAAGGCGTTAGTCAACATGAAAGTGACCTGGAGGGCAGAGAGAGCAGATTGGAATGCAGAAAAATGTCAGTTACAATTCAACAAGACATTAAAGAGACACTTCACCCATTTGCATTAAGATTTGTATCTTTAGAAACCCAGTCATATTTCTGAATGGTCATGGTTCATTCCCCTATTTTCCTCTGAGGTGGGGAAGGTAGGAAATAGGGAATAAGGATTTAAGTGTTTTACTTCCTGCTTATTATGACAAAAAAATCGTCATTTTGCGTCATAATAAGCAGAAAGTCATATTTCATTAAAATGTTCATTAAATGTTCATTAAATGTTCATTAAAGTTCCTCATTATTCAAGGGTGTGGGACCCACTCACGCTACAGGCCTATTACAGATCAGTGGATGGGACTTCACTTGCAGATACTGAATCAATATATCAGCCATCTTGTTTGGAAGCTAAGCTAACAAGTGCTGTCGAGATAGGAAGTTATGACAATGACAGAAGAAACTAAAGATGATATGGAAGAAGAGGATTTTGAAGTTCTGCTGCTCGAATCCGATGTTCATGGCTGTCTTTACGAGTCGCAGTATAGTAAAGAGCAGCTGAGGCTGATGGAGGAGCAGGAGGCGGCTGCCTGTCGCGGTCGAGGAACCCGGACTGGCTCGAGCTGAGGCGGACTGCTATGCATGTGTTCTCGCTGTGAACTACGAACACAGATAGAGTCCGTCTACAGATAATTTCAACGATGGCAATTTCTCCTGAACGAAAGCTCTGAATCAGACGAGCACACGGACGTTTGTGTTGTGATGTGAACCATCCTAGTTTCGCTGACTGAACGTCCAGGTATCATGCAGTAATACACCATATTTAGAAAGAAATACAAACGAGGAGTAATTCACCAATGAGTTTGCCAATGTAACATTAACAGGGTTTGTTGTTGTGGGAAGAAGGAGGCGGGAACCGGTGAACATTTAAACATTTTAATAGTAAAATAAACAAATACAAAACGAAAGTATAAGCAAACAGCCCCTCATTGACGACTGCTGTAACGTTACTCACAACAGAAACAAAACACATCATAAAATCAGGCCTGTTTCTCTCTCGATCTGCCATCGTCGCTCCTCATTTTATGCTTTCGCTCCTCTGTGAGAGACACGAGACTGACGCCTATGTGTTTCTTTCATTATCACTCACGCCACCGGCCTCGCGCCGTCCTCTTACGTCCCTCACCCTCGATCGTCCTGCTTAGTGTGAAATTCATTTCACACTAACTAGAAATTTTGTGTGAAATGGATTTCAAACTCTGGTCACAATTAACGTTAGCCTTGTAGACGGAAGAGTGATTTCTCTCATGTGTGCGCAGTTCTGGATTAGTGGGTGTGGCTTGCGGAGCTGTGCAATGTGGTGAATTGTGGGAGTTGTTGTCTTACATACAATGCGCCCCTCTGTCTTTTCTCAGTCAAGAGGGCACCAAATTCAAAAATTATTTTACATTTCGACTACATATGATCCACTTTCAATAAAGATTAATGTTGAAATGGGTGAAATGCTCCTTTAAATTAGCAGCATTGACGTTAAAGTGTTCTGCAGGCACTCACCCTTGACTTGGTGCGTTCTATCATGACCTGAACGGTGCTTTTTAATTCCAAGTCCTTTGCTGAAGCATCTGTGAAAACAAAAATGTCTGAAGACGGAGAAGCACCTGCCAGTGCCAACTGGATTTCCAGAGAGAGGTGGTGGTGGTGGTGGTGGTGGTAGGGGGGGAACAAGATAAGAGGATCTCAAAATTATTATAATTTCTCATTCTGGCTTTATCTCAGCAAAACCTCAATCCAGCTGTGATATTTATGTAATAATTGTATCAGTAATATAATCTTATATACTGTTTCAGTGTGAATATGAGTGTTTTTCTCAGTTTAAATCAATGTTTACAAAACTCTCCAAAAGACGTAAACACACACACACAAACACACACACGCACCAGCAGTCCTGACAGGCACATCTCTGGAGCGTCTCCTCCACCAGATGCTGTGAGGGAATTGATTCTCGATTTGAAAATATCTGCATCCTTAGTCCTTGTCAGAGGTCCAAAATCTGAATGACACAAACACATCACAGAACACTACAACAACAACGATAATATTTACATAATTTAAATTATATAATGTATAAATTTAATAATCTAACAGAAATATTTACTTATCTTTACATAATTTACTTTCACTAACTATTGTTCAGCTATCATTCAGATCCTTTGTAAACATGATCACATTTGTATTATTGATGGCAGACATTGTACTTTTAATATATTCCATAAAAAGCAAATCGTTCACAGATCATTTCATGTTCAAGTCATTGCAAGTTAGATTTGAACATGAACAAAAGTGATTGTCTGAATTATAGTGAATAGTTTACTAATTATTCCATCCATTTTCACTTGATGCAAATGCCTCAATGAATGAATGACTGAATGATGCCAAATGAATGTTTGATGCATTCATCACTGTGTCAAAGTGAGTGCATGGAAGCTATCATAAAAATTACTAGTCTATAGAATATTAAATCTAATATCGCACTGCCGCCTTTGCTTTTTTGCCCTTAGTTGGGGGAAAAATGGATAGATATGATCTAAATACACAATATGACTACCTGGATCATTAAATGGGACTAGAATGTACTCTGAAGGTTCTTCTGGTGTTCCTCTCTTGCTGTCTATGATACTGAAGGACACTCTCTTGGCTTCTTCAATGTCATCAAACATACTGCCTGTGGTGTCAATCACAAAAGCCAAAACTGAGGTCTGACTGAGGCCCATTAATCTGAGTGAGAGAGAGAGAAACAAATAAGACTGGCAGTATAAATCTGTGTAACCCCCCCCCCCAAATAAATTCACAATCTGCAACCTATAATTCAGTTGATATGCTTTAAGTCATGAGTTTAAGTCATGTTGGAAAGATTGTATTTATGAATGGAATGTTGTAATGTGAGTGGGGGCGAGAAGTCCTTCATTTTCAGAGTTGGAGCAGTTCTCATGAAATGGCGTATGTAGGCTATGACACGCCAATTCGTATTTTCATTTTTGGCGTGTTATCAACACGCATAATCGCTTTTCAGCGTGTTTATGAACGCCGTTGACTTAACATTACATTACTGCATATATAAATCGCATATATAAATCTGACCTACCCCAACCCCGTCCCTAAACCTACCTGTCACTGGGGTTAATACACTCTAAAAAATGCTGGGTTGTTTTAACCCAACTTTGGGTCAAATATGGACTAACCCAGCCGTTGGGTTAAATTTTTACATTACATTTTTAACCCAGCATTTTGGGTTTGTCCATATTTGACCCAAAATTGGGTTAAAACAACCCAGCATTTTTTAGAGTGTACCATTTATGAGTCTTCCCCTACCATCCTAGGAAAAAACATGGCTCCCCGGATCTACATTTTGCTTCGTTTCGCTTGGAAATTTACCACCGTGTAGCCTATATTGTACATTTGGAAATATGGAACAGGCTTATATAAACCATTCAATTAAACTCCATGCCAACATATTTATAAAAACGGTCTTTGACGTGGAAAAGTTTTTGGCACCCCGTCAGGTTCTAAGCAGACGTACTGGGGTGGATTCTGGAATCCACTGCTGCTTCTATATATATCTAATGAGTGCAGGGCTCCAGACTAACTTTTTTTAGGAGCGCTGTTGCCCCTGACTGAAAATTTTAGGAGCGCAAGCAGAAAATTTAGGGGCACACCTTAAATCAGCTCGCAATGCAATTATTCAAATTTCCCCCAAAATAACTGTAATACTGACAAATTCTTTAATAATAAATAGACTTAACATTATGATAGCTGTTTTATTTTAAGTTCACAGGGCTCCAGACTCAAATTTGAGGGCAGCACTACCTCAAATCAGAACTCATGCAACTCATGTCATGCATCCCTGGACATTGTGATAATTTTATGTCTTGTATACTGTCTCTTGCATTTATATTTATTGTATGCATGCTTTATGAGAGAACTACTAGTTAATTAACCCCACCTATATCGTGTCTCCTATCTAATTTATCCTCATGTAATGTCTCACACTTTAGTGAACATCGCCTTCTCATAGAATGCAGTGTGTGTTTGTTATTATATTTATTTGAGCATAAATGGACACAAACGGCAAGGTCATAAATCATAAATCCTCCCAAAAGATGAATTTCCTGGTTGGAAATTCCACCTGTCTTATTAGTTGGCCCCAGGGCAGCTGAGCAGGGCTTGATTGCAACAGCAAACAGCAAACGTTTGGATTTGAAATATATTTCAAATACAATAAAGTATACATTTTTTCACTTGGGTTGAGTTAAAAAAATGGTACATCGCCATGTTACTTCGACTAAAGTACTTGAATGAACCTAACCTCATAAAAATGAACTTTCCAGAAGGACTTAAACGTTAATATATTTTTTTTAATTCGCTGAAGAAGAGCTCAAAGACTGGTGTAAAAGTAAGGTATGTGTACCGAAGAAAGGCTTGGTTTCCTGTGGCCAGTCGGATGTCTTCCAGCAGTTCCATAGTAGCATCAATTGCCATTTCAGCGGCACGCTGATGAAGGAAGCCATGACTTGAGCTGATGTCATCCTTGTTGATACCTCCGGTGGGGTCTCTATAACTGGTCTTATCAAGAAGGCCACCATGGCTACACTTGCCTGAGAGAAAATTATGTCAGCATATAGATTTGTAATTCTAATTTCAAACATCCTGTGGACGGTGATGACAGGCCTATACAGAGGAGTTATAATTGAACACTACATACCGGATGCTATTAAGCTCCCTTACCCACAGGTTTTGCAGAGAAGAACGTGCTGAAATATCCTGAGGTTAGTTTCTTTTGCAGCAATATTTCTGGGAGAATGTTATCTCTACAGTCTTGCCCATTGCAGCTTTTGCATGTTGGTGTGCTGCGTTCTATACATACAGATAAAAGATAAGAATGTGAAACTAGTTTCTAAATACTCCGAAAATTGTAGAGAGAGGGTAATTGTATTTTTGTAATACCTGCTAGATTCTTGAGGGGAAGTTCACGTCTGATCAGGGGGCTGAAAGGAGCAGTGCTTCCCAGTTCCACCCAGTTACTGTGGCTATAGAAATCCTGCACACAAACATTGCAAATCAAATATTACAAATAATACTGTCAAAAGTTCTAAAAGGATATGTACACACTTTGTGGCTGTCAAACATATAGTGGAACATGTGCACACAGTCCATTTGCGTTTGTTAAACTAAACCTGTATGGACTGAAAAAGCTCTGTCATCATGTTTGCAGATGTTACTTGGTTTAACGTTTGCTTTCATGCAATAAAAATTCAAATATTTTCATTCAAACAAACAAACAAGTGTCAAAAATTGTTCAAATTCTCTAGTTAAGTAAAAAAAAAGGAAAAGAAATTGAATAGCCATTTTAAAATGCTTAATTTTTAATTATTTTTATTTTACCTTAATTTTACCAGGAAGTCCCATTTGAAATTGATTACAACATATACCTAAAACGCTGATTTAAACAGAGGTCTTTTACAAGAAACAATCGCATATCTCCTTTACTGCATTCTTTATGGTTATCTTAAATTCATCATTAAAATCAAGTATGCTCAAAAACTTTTTTGATTTCCAAAATAGTTTTGCTTTTTTGCTTTTGACCAAGGTGCAAAATGGGAAAATGCCTTTTCCCCAGATCTGTTAAAATCTAGGGTACATTAAAAAACAACCACTTGGAGGAACGCAACTGGTAACTACTAAAGCTAAAACAAAGGTTAAAGAGGTAATAAAATAAGAGAAGAGTGAATCAGCACCTCGATGTAAATGGTGTTAGAAAAGACATGGGTTTGATTCCCTGGGAATGCATGAACTGATGACATACTGTATGCATGGACATTTTTTTGGGATGTAACGCAAATATATATATATATATATGTGTATATATGTGTATATATATATATATATATATATATATATATATATATATCTGGTACAAAGCCAGCATGAAAAATAAAGAAAGATTACAGACAACCTACTATAATCTCAATTTCTAACATACCTGTAGAGTATGACAGACAGCCCCCAGTGTGATTCGACCAGAGATATAGCTCTCCTTCTTCACACTGGCCTTTACTGCAGCCAGGCCACTAGTGATGAGGTTCCGGCCCTCAACGAAAGCCTCATTATCTACGTGATGCGCGTCACTCAGAACAAACGCTACATCTATGGCTGCATTGCTGAAATAAATGTCTGCTATCACTGAATAAAAACCCAGTGAAGCGATGACAGACGATGAATCAGGAGATGTTGCGCAGGCTCGTTGGACAGCAGAAATAGTCAGTCTGTTGTTTATCTGAAGTGAGGTGTAGAAAGAGGAGAATATTATTATTATTATCATTAAAAACATAATTCAAATTACCTCAGTCTGTTGTCTATTCAGGTTTCAAGTCAGTATAGCATAACTTGAGAGACTTTGCAACTTAAAAAAAATTTAAAATTCACATTTGAGGTATGATTATGTTGTAAATCAAAATATAAAAAGTCTCTTTAAGGAATGTTAATAATCACAGAGCCTTTTTTACTCATTAATAGTTTGTGTGACTTTAAATTCTAAAATGTTCCTAGTTCCTGGTTTCATGGTTCAACAATTCAGTTGGTTCACTGTGTTCTTTTCTTACAGCAAGTGTAAAGTCTCGTCCCTGGGCAGTGGCTATGTCATGGCACACTTCTGCTGTCTTGCGGAGTATGGCCATCTGAGTGATTTCTCGATGCGTGATGGAGCCATCCTTAAGAAGAGGTTTGAATGCTGTCGCGTGGGGGGGTTGAAACAGGGTCCCACAGAGAAGAAATACTGCCACCACAACCAGTGAAACCATGGCTGTCCTGTCCACAATAAATTGTGCTGTGGGACAATTCAGTCTTCTCTCACCATGCAGTGAAGAAAATCTTGATGAAATTTCACTAAACATTATAAGATAGATTAGCTTAAATATGGACATTTCTAAGCTTGGACATTTCCTCATAAAATACAACATATTATGAAATTAGAGAAAAAATGAGAATTAAAAAGTAAAAATAGAGAATTACCTTTTCACAGATTTTGTGTGTATACTGTAACTTCTGCACAGCCCCGTCAGAGTATTTATACTGTACACCCGTCACACATACTAGGTGACGTAAGGAATGTCAAATGAGAAACCAAAAGTGTGCGTGTGTTACTATGAAAATAAATAAAAAAGAATGTTTACTTACTTTTTAACCATTGTTGATTGTGCCTTTTTCAAATCCAGTCTTACCTTGCCTATATGTTATCTTGACAATGATTAATGGCCTATAACAATGCTAAGTTCCATGTGAAGTTCATTTATGATTGATGGGTGCACATTTTTGAGCTTCAATATGTTGGTTGCAATCCACTGCCATTGTAAAACATTAAAGAGCCAGGATATTTTTTAATGTGGCTAACTCTGATTGTATTCGTCCGAAAGAAGAAAGTCATATACTCATTACACTTTTTTTCTGATTGCTTAAGCACATTTTTGTAACTATTGGCTAGTTTTGCAAAACTCTGCACACAAATAAGAAAACCTATCACCCAATTATCATAACATTGTAATTCTCTTGCAAAAGTAAACACAGCTAGATTAACTCTTACTGTAACACCTTTGTAAAAATGGTGTTTTCGTATCAAACAGTAAACACAAGCCATCTACTAAGCACACAATGTGCCAACTACACACTGATGTTATGAATACAAAACACATCTAGCTTTTGCTTTCTCTGTGTAGATGTCAATTTGAGGTCATACTTTTGTCATAACATACAAGGATCCAAACTTCAAGTATTGGTGTTTATTCACACTCATCAAAACCAAGACAAAGTCAGAACACAAAATAGTAATTTTATCAGCCTACATCATGTCGTCTTGGACCGTCCACATCGCATGCGATATCCTCCAGTCCAAGGCACCGGGGAAAATATGTCCTTGAATCCCGTATCCAGGCCTGACATGATGCCTGGTCAATATCTCCACATGCCTCCTCCATTGCCTGTAAAAGGGCTACCTGTTGATGAGGATGACGGTCGTACACTTTCCAGCGCCAGGTAGAGAAGAACTCCTCAATGGGATTTGTAAGAATGGAGAGTATATAGGGAGGTTTAGTGCCAGGAAGAATGGGTGGTATGTAAACCAGTTGCAGACCAAAGCAACCCTATGGAAACTAACATTGTCCCATATGATGACATATCGGGTATGCTCTTCACCTCCACGTCCTCTCCCTCGGCCTCCTCGTCCTCTTCTTGCTCCTCCTTGTCCTCTTCCTCCAACTTCTTCACCTCCACGTCCTCTCCCTCGGCCTCCACTGATTCTCACTCTTCTCACTCTTACTGCTCCTTCCATTGTACTCCACACAGACAGCTTACCTGTGGCTTATTTATACTGCTTAGGCTGATTGCAAAGTGAACTAATTTTCTAAAACAGGTTTTCACATTTGAAAGTGAGCCAGACAGTTGGCAAAATAATGTTAATGATAGCCATACATGTCTATAATTTTGGAGTGTGTTGGAAATGTGGTAATTGAGTGTAAGCAGTGAGTTGTGTTTAAAGTTCTGCAATAAGAGTGTTGTGCAGTGAATTGTGCCTACAGTTTTGCAAAGTGTGTGTTACAAAATTACAAACTGAGTGCAAAGCAGTTTTTGTGCTTTTAGTTTTGCAAACTCGGTGAGTGGTTTTGCTACACATATTAATGGTTTTAGAAATTGTGCTACAAGAATCACGAATAGCGCTTAAGCATTCAGAAAAAACCTGTAATATGAGTATATATGAGTCACCCTATGGCTTGAGGTGAGTAAATCATGTGGTTAATTTTCCTTTTAAATTGAACTAATCCTTTAAGGTAAAATTATTTTGTGTGGAATTTTCCAATACATTAAAATTAAGTTAAACAAATTAAAGTTATACCAATAATAGGGTGGGTGAAACTCCCCATGAGTCTCCATGACCTCAATTATCTCCACAAAGTAAACGAGGACAAGAACTCCTACAGTATTCACAATTAAAGGAATTCTGAATTATGCACATGCATATGTGTTTATTTGTTGCTTTGACAGACAGAATAAGGATGTTTTCTGTGATAATTAAAACAATATGAGCTTAACTAGTTTATTAACTATATTATGTTAAATTTCATAATAATTATCACATAATCCTAATGTCAGAGCCCTGACAAGCAATTGAGCCTTTAGATTATATACTCCACCCACAAAGATTCACATAGATCACAAAAAAAAAAAAAAAAAAAAAAAAAAATCACACACAATGATCACATAAAAAGCAAGTGGATGGGTCCCTCAAAGTTGATTCTTCAAAAACCATATATAAAAAAGTGTAAAATATATAGTATAAAATATGTATAAAAAAGTGTATTACAAATGATCTTCTGCTGAAATACCAAATAAAAACATTTAAACACAAAAAACAAACAAAGCAAAAATGGCAGTATTCATGCGATCACAAATGATGAATCAATGTATTCTGAAGCGAAACAATATGTGTGTTTGACATTTGCATCAAGCGTGAATTCATTTGTGATGTATGCACATAAGTGCTTCCTGCCATTCCGGTTCTCTTTATTGTTCGTTGATCCAGTCGTGTGTCACGGGGTGTGGTGCAGGGGTGCCGGAGTGCAGGACGAAGGAGCGGGAGGAATCCAGTTTAACATCAAAATACGAATTTATTATCAACACACAGGCAGGAAGGCAGGGAAACAGGCGCAAACACCAGGTAACATCAAACATTGACCGACAAGGACAGAATGAAACAGAGGAAACTAAATACACTGAGGAATCAGGGTTAATGAGGTGAAGACGGGTGATACAGATGAACAGGACGCTGAACGGGAGGCTGATGAGGGAGTGAGTTCAGGTGTGCAGACGAGAGGATCATGGGAAGTGTAGTGCTGGAGACGCAGACAGGATGGTGCAGACGAAGGACTGTGACAGAACTCCCCCCTCCCGGGAGGCGTGACCTCACGCCGCAGAACAGAGGAAGGAGGGGGGACGAACTGGGGGCTGAGCGGGGCGAGGCCAGGGTGGAGCAGGCTGAAGGCGTGGCCAGGGCGGAGCAGGCTGAGGGCGTGGCCAGGGCGGAGCAGGCTGAGGGCGTGGCCAGGGCGGAGCAGGCTGAGGGCGTGGCCAGGGCGGAGCAGGCTGAGGGCGAGACCAGGGCGGAGCAGGCTGAGGGCGAGACGGAGCCGGTTGGAGGCGTGGTGGGGCAGGCTGAAGGCATGGCCAGGGCGGAGCAGGCTGAGGTTGTGACCATGGCTGAGCGGACCCTTCGGGCGGCCACGGCGGTGAAGACCCTTCAGGCGGCCATGGCGGTGAAGACCCTTCAGGCGGCCACGGCGGTGAAGACCCTTCCAGCGGCCACGGCGGTGAAGACCCTTCCGGCGGCCACGGCGGTGATGACGGAGGGAGGAGCCATGGAGGGGGCAGGACTGACGACTCCAGGGAGCCGACTGATGGAGGCGGAGCAGGTGATCGAGGAGACCCGGGTGAGGCCATCGAGCCAGCGAGACCGGGCAATGTAGACGGGCTGGCGGGACATGGCGACACCAACGGCTCCGGCGACTGAGGCCGAGACGAGGATCCTGAAGACCGCGGCGCAGCCAGAGCGACCGAGGACCAAGGTGGACCCGGAGGGAGAGAAGAGCCCAACTGAACCAGAAGGACGCAGCGACGAGGCGAAGCAAGAGGAGGGTAGTCCCAGGGTGAGGGCGGGTCGATGAAGGACCAAGGGGAAACCGGGGGGACGAGGAAGCCTGGAGGAGCTGGTGGGCTGAAGGGCCACGGCGGAGGTGAGGGAGGTAAGAGCCATGGTGGAGGTAATGGACCAGAGGGCTGCGGCAGAGACCAGGTCGAGGAGGTTCGAGGAGGAGACCGGGGATCCCCTGACCCAGATGGAGTTGGTGGCCGGCAGACCCACGACGATTCTACCTCCTCGAAGCACTCCGGGGAAGCAGTGGGGCTGCCAAGCAGTGGTGGAGAGACGGTGAAAACATGATGGATAGGAGGAGGTGGGAGAGGGAGGCTGGGTGGGATCACGGTCTCGGGCTCTGGCTGGACGGTCTCGGGCTCTGGCTGGACGGTCTCGGGCTCTGGCTGGACGGTCTCGGGCTCTGGCTGGACGGTCTCGGGCTCTGGCTGGACGGTCTCGGGCTCTGGCTGGACGGTCTCGGGCTCTGAGAGGCTGGACGGAACCAGCGGAGAGGGGATGATGGCAGGTGTGGTGATGATGGTGGGTGTGTGTGGTTGAGTGGTGCTGTCATCTTCAGCCTCACCAACGGTGAAGGCTGACCCACTCAACCACAACACATGGTCCAGGTATCCGGCAAAGGTTCCTGGAACCGCTGCTGCTGGGGCTTGCTGGTACAGATGATCGTCCAAACCCAGCCAAAAGACTGACTTTAGAACGTCATCCGACCAACTTACCCCAGCAGAGAGCTCCAGGAACCTGACGACATACTCCTCACAAGATCGTCCGTCATGGAACAGGTTGATGGTTGTGAGAGCTGGGGTTAGGAGAAGTCCCATACTGTCACTGTTGGGGTCGGTCAATCTGTCACGGGTGTGGAGCAGGCAGAGGAACAAGGAGACCGGAGTATCGGGGAGAACAGGGTTTATTCATAAATACAGGCAGGAAGACGCAAACACCAGGTAACATCAAACATTGACCGACAAGGACAGAATGAAACAGAGGAAACTAAATACACTGAGGAATCTGGGTTAATGAGGTGAAGACAGGTGATACAGATGAACAGGACGCTGAACGGGAGGCTGATGAGGGAGTGAGTTCAGGTGTGCAGACGAGAGGATCATGGGAAGTGTAGTGCTGGAGAGACGCAGACAGGATGGTGCAGACGAAGGACTGTGACATCGTGTATGTATGATTTAGCTATTATATTATATTAATTTTTCTGAGGGGGAAGGTACAACATTTCTTGAGTTTTGTAAAGTTGGCTTTTTGGCTTGATTTAACCATCGCAATATGAATGTCGAGAAATGTCATTTTTAGCCTTGTGAGTTTTTTTATATGTATATATATATATATATATATATATATATATATATATATATATTATTGTAATAAACTGGC